CAATGGGGTGAGTTAGTGGGTGTGAACCTTCTTACTAGAATCAAATTAATCTAAGACGTATCTTGTTATGGATGGAATTATATGGCATTAAGTGTAGCTATGTATGTATAGTGACAGTGAAATTGCATCTTAAATAACATGTAATATGAGGCATTGTATGTAGATGACTGAGTACTTGAAGATGGATAAGATTTTCTGGGTAATATCAGGATAAGATTTTCTGGTGTATATGAAGATGGAAGCTCAACATATTTATCTCTGCAACTATAGGCTTCACCTTCGGTCTTTGCATCATCTTATTTATGTACATGTACATGTTGGTTTACGTCCCAGCTGAGTGTAGTGTACCAGCCATCTGTGCTAATTTTTTCTTTCTGTCGTACATGAATCATCATACGTCCTTGGTCAAGGCACTGATGTTGTACCATAAAAGATAAAAAAAAGATTCTGATGAAATTGTTCCATCTCGAGTTCTTGTAATTTTCCTTGATGCCTTGACTTTTAACATTAAACATTTATATTATGATGAGGAGATCACCTGCATGTTGTGCCATTGTTGCCTTAGATAATGAAGTTATTTAAAATCCTTCATACTTTGGGTATGTTCTATAAACAGTCATCTTATTCTTGTTGAAGCTAGTGTCTCTGTACCTTTTGTTGAAGTGTAATCTCTGCCATCCTCTTTCTTCTAAGATAGAATTTAGGAGTGTTAGTATAGTATTCTTTTTTTTTAAGCAGGAGTGGTAGTATTCTAATAATTCTTCCAAATATACTTCTTGAAATCGAAGACCTGTTCATAGTGCTTGTGATGTGCGAGGGAGGGAGAGATCTCATCGGTCCTGACTCCAGGGTGATGACATATTAAGATCCCATCCAACAAAAAAAAAAAAAGATAAAAAAATGACTTTGTTTTAGGAAGTATTTGACTGCTTTCTTTTAATTTAATGTTGACCCCACTCAGTGCTTCAGAGACGCTTGTTTGCCTCTCTATCTTTGCCTAGTTTTTTATCCTATGAACTATTGTTGTATTGCCTTCCCAATATCAGCTTTTCATGTAAAATAAAAAGAGAAGTTCCATAAAAAAATGTGGCAGATTTTACATAGTTGCAGATTTTATATAAGGTTAATTATAAGCATGTAGTACAGATTGTATATCCTACTAGTATTAGTAGATGCAGAATTTTTATAAGGTTAATTATATCAGTTGCAGGTACCTCTTTTTTCTCAGATTGTTTGACCTATACTAATTTCATATATTGTATATTTGGATGCAGTTAAAAATAAATAAGCTTGTAGAGCAGTGTGAACAAGGAGAAATCAGCATGACAGATGAAGAAATTTATGCAAAAGTTTAACCCAAAGGTAAAAATGGCCGTGATCGTGGAAAAGGAGTAAGCCCGTCCATTACTTCCTTGTTTGGGTCATTAGTGAAGGAGAGAAGTTTCGCAAAGAGGCTGAAGAGGCAAAGAAAGAAGCTAATGAGGCTAGAAAAGAAGCTCACGAAGCTAATGCAAATAATAAACTGCTCACTAAGGAGGTGAAAAATTTTAAAAAATAAGTAAGAATTATGAAAGGTGTTATGGGAAAGTTTTTTAACTTTATGGGAGGCGATTTTTCAAAGTTAAGTCATTAGTTTATTTTTCATTATTTTCAGTTTATATTTTTGTTTAGTTACCGAAATTACTTGTGTACCGTTATTATATGTGATAGGTTGAAAAGGAGCATAAAAAAGTCCATGATGATGATAGTATTGATGATGATGATGATGATGATGGTGGTGATTGTGACGATGATGATTGATGATGATGATGGTGATTGTGGTGATGACAATGATGATGATTGTGATGACAGTGATGCGGATGATGAGGAATGAACTTTCTTAAGCATTTATTTTAGCTTTTAGACATACTTTGACCCATCTTAATGTTTTTAGTACTTGTTAAATTTAATTAACTCTAGCTAGGTAGTTTCTTTTTTTCTTAAGTTGTGGAGGTGCAGATGAGTTTGAACAAACTATGTACTGGTGCAGTTACTTTTTAAGTAATTAATTTAAGTTAAATTTTGACTTTTTATATTATTCTACAAAGCAAGCATTTAATTACTTTGTTGATGCATGTTATTAGCTATTAATTTATTTATATATTTATAAATATCTAACAATCTATTAACGATTCACAACGATATACAAGATACAATGATATATGGCTGCCTCTAAAAACAATTCACAACAATAGTAAAAGGTGCCTTGCAATATTATTTATAGCACAATGTAATATAGCCTCTAAAACCTTTTTGAGTCATTAAATACGGTTGACTCTAATAGCATGAAAAGACAACATAACATGGTTGCCTCGAATGACATTTTGAGGTCAAATAATATGGTTGCCTCTAAATATGACTTTTTAGAAGCACATCCTTTGTTGCCTCTAAAGGGGGTTTTTAGAGGCAAACACCATTTAGCGACCGAATTTTTGTTGGCAACCACAAAATTGCCTCCAAAAACCTTTAGGGGCTATTTTCTTATATTTAGAGGCAATTATGTAATGCCTCTACAAGCCAATTTTATTGTAGTGCCGGAAGGGTAAGGATTATTATGACGGTGGTGAATTCTTCACTCAGAAGCTGGTATACCGGCGGCTGGCTAGGCATCTGAAGATCGAGCAAAAAGAGTTTGACCCAGTGGCATATGGCCTCCCCCCCTTGCAGCCAGATGTTAGAGTACCCCTCCCCCGGGTGAAGAGAGGCTGGATCTTGAAGATTCCGAGCTTATGCAAGAGGGCGAAGACGAAGATGATGAGGAGGTCGGAGAAGATGCCACTTCCAAGCCGAAGGAGAATGCCGTAGAGGGTGCCCTGACTTAGGAATTTTCCTAAGTACAATTTTGTAATAGCTCGTAGGCCTCCGGCTTCGGCCATGTGTTGTGAATCAAACAATTTTCCCTTGTGTTTTGAATATTGATGAATGAATGGCATGCCTTCGGGTGTATTTTTTATATCGATGCTTTCGTTCCTTCGCCTGTGTGTATGAATGTGTGCTTCGTTTTCTTCCATATGCTTGTTCGAAGGCTTTAACTCATGGACTTAGAAAATTTTCTAAGTAAAAGACCCATGTCGTTGCCTTCGGGCTAATCAATTAACTGATAGTCCCCGGTAAATGCAGCTTGGGGATACCCTTCGGTTTGTAGCGATTCCCCCGGGGGTTTGACAATTGTGGACTTGAGTGTATTCGGGGGGGCCCTCGAGTTATTTGAGCCTTCACACAAACAAGTATTTCTGGTAGACTTTAGCTTGCATATAAGGAAAACTTGGTCACAGCCTTCGGTTGTAGGGTAGAATTGCCGGAGGCTGCGAGGCTGTGGACTTAGGTTTTTTTCTCAAGAAAAAATAGTCGCCATGCCTTTGGTATGTAGAGCCAGTTGAGTGATGCAGTGAGTAGCATAGCCGAGAGGTCCCACTTCATGGACTTAGTAAAATCTTGAGGTTGCTTTCAATAGATCCTGTGATTAGCCCTCGGCTAAGTGAGTTGTAGGAGCCTCCTGTTTTAGGGGCCTCAGTGAGCTCATAGGAAATCAAACGAGGGGTGCCTGATTTGAGACTTGGGCAAATTTGCACTTTGGGTTTGTAGGGTGATGGCCCTCGGTAGTAATGTGTCTCCGGGGGGTATCAATTTGTGCACTTAGCCAAATTTCCACGTTGTTGGAGTAGATTCCGTTGGCCCGTGCCCTTCGGTGCTTGCCACCAAAGTGTAAGCCTTCAGGTTATGAGGGATAGTGAAGCCCTCGGGTATCCAGAGATAGTAAGCCTTAAAGCTTGATTTGGTCTTAAAGGGTTTTCCCTTTGCTGTAAATTAGGACCTTCATCCCTTCGGGCAAGTGACTTTGATGTGGGGAGTTCCTTCCTGTGGCGTTGTTTTATGTGAAGAGTGAAGAGCCTTCGGGAAACTTTTTTTGTGGCTTTGTTTTTGTAGAAGAGCCTCCGGGAATATAATATCCAGGGAGTTCCTCCCCCCTACACATTTTTTTTATACTGTAGGAGGGACATCAAGAAACTTGGTCTCTTGGAAAGGCTTAGCCTATATGGGAGACAACGGAATAAACCGTTGGCTCCCCCTTCGGGATTGACCTTCCGAAATCCCGTTTTGGTTTGCACACTGGTGGAAACTTTATGGTTCCATTCCATAACTGTTAAAAATGAAAGTTCAAGACAGCTTTAATCTCTACAAAACCCATTACAAACATAATGAAAAAAAGCTTAAATTTCACCCCCCCCCAATGCTCTTTTCATCAAATATTTTCCTTCCATGGGTCCTTGCCTGGGATTTTGAATTCCAGCATAAAGACTCCAATACAATTCTCATTCGTCATTTCAAAGTGAGGTGGCGGACCGCAATCTCAATCCCACCTAACATCAAAATTGAAGCAGTTAGAACATGGCTCCAAACAAAGTTATTAATGAAGCTCGGACCAGAGGCTACACAATTCTTAATTAGCCCAAAAATATGTTGCCCAAACCCAATTAGCATCAACAAAAAGCGAAGATGAATACTTCCAAATAATGGCCCAACTTCTACAAATCAAGGCCAAGTCATCAAGAGCTTCTTCAGAGACATCAGAACAAATCATGCCCCTGGGAGATGATAATGACTATGATTGTTTCGGCATTTTCTCCCCTACCAAGTGAAAACTGTTATGTTGGCCCATTTTTCATGGTCTAACCCAAAACCTATTTTTATTTTTATCAATGTTATAATGGGCCTAGCCCAACAAGTTATTTTTATTAAAAAAAAGCCAAAAAGAAAAAGAAAAGCAAAAGGAAAAGGAAAAAGAATTTATTTTTGGTCTCATACGCACACTCCAAAGTATACCACAAAAAGAAAACCAAGTTGTAGCAAGTGGGTGCAAAGATTATCCTACTCCACAACTACCCCAACCACTCCATTATTACAAAGAGTTCCACATCCCTATAAAAGGAGGACTCTTCCATTGCAAATGACACACCTCTCGGAGACATACAACACAAAATACTCTCTTGTAGAATAGATGCTTGAGTGCTCTCTTCTTGAATTTCTACGCTTGTAATTTTGTTCAAATTTGTAAGTGTTTTTCCTTCACGTATTAATTTTTATGTACCTTTTCCCTTATGTACTTTTAATTATTGTACCATTTAAATAAAATGATGTTTTATTTTTATATTATCTCATTTTCCATATTAAGTATGCTCTGCACTTGCAGCTTCGTTTGACATTGTGCATCAGAAATTATTTTGTATTAATATTGTAACACTTGAGATTTAATATAAACGGATTAATAGTACTACTCATACCAACAAGGTGCATCTCCTTTTAAGGGCGCTCATTAGTCAAGAACTCCAAAGTTAAGCGTGCTTGCACGGGAGTAGTCTTGGGATGGGTGACCCCCTGGGAAGTTTCTCAGGGCGCGCACGAGTGAGCACAAAGTGCGCGTAAAAGGCTAGTGGCGGTTTGTGAGGACAGTACTATTGGTCTGGAGTAACTACCTCGGGTCCCACGGGGCCGGGGTGTTACAGGTGGTATCAGAGCAACCCTGCGACAGTGTGTTGACCCGTTGGATATCAGGCAAGCACTTAGCGGGGGAAGATTCTGGGATTTGATTGAGATTTGAGATTGGTTTATGGGCGCAACGAGGACGTTGCGTCCCTAAGTGGGGGTGATTGTAACACTTGAGATTTAATATAAATGGATTAATAGTACTACTCATACCAACAAGGTGCATCTCCTTTTAAGGGAGCTCATTAGCCAAGAACTCCAAAGTTAAGTGTGCTTGCACGAGAGTAGTCTTGGGATGGGTGACCTCCTGGGAAGTTTCTCAGGGCGCGCACGAGTGAGGACAAAGTGCACGTAAAAGGCTAGTGGCGGTTTGTGAGGACAGTACTATTGGTCTGGAGTAACTACCTCGGGTCCCACGGGGCCGGGGTGTTACAAATATTCATTCGGTATTTATTTTCGGTTACGCTTTGATCTTGCGGCGTCTTTGGTATCAGAGCCACTAGGGTTAGAAGTTTATTTTCTAACCTGGTTCCATTCTGATATATATTGATATCATAGTAAAGTTCAGCTCGTTAGGGAAAAGACAGTGTTACAATAGTAGTATAATTGTCTATAAGGTGTAATAACTCAACATTCTGAGTACATTTTAATGCGTGAGAAATAGATAATTAATATAATTAATAAATGTTCATTCCCAATAATTATTATTACTATGTTCTTTTATTAACAAACAACACGGCAATCCCAATAGTGAAAAGAACAACTATCATCGTTATCATCCTCAACGTTCTTGGCTCTTCTTTATGCGGTGGGCACACATTCTTCCGTTGTATCGTCTCCATGACCCTCCATGATTTCAATTTTTTCAACAATACTTTTTGGGCCCTCCAAATTATCTGCGGCCATGCCCTTTTGTTGTTCATTACTTGCCTCGTCCTCCTTATTTCTTACATGTGCCGCAGAACCATTAACGGAGCCAGCAGGGATGACGTGTTTGGGTAGTGTCACATGGATCTTACCTTTTTCGATTTTAATTTCGGATCGATTCATATCATACTGAAGAAAAACCGGACCGCCTACATATGTGAAAAAACGGACCCACCCCCTAAATTTGGACGGCCGATTATACACTTCATTTACATAATATATCCTCCCGCCTCGCCGCGGTTTATGTGCAGTAATCGCGATGTATGGATAACCATTTTTTACCTCTACTGTTACCTCATCATCTTTGGTACCTACAGTAAGCATGGTTTTACGTTAATACTCAGTATTTTAGTTACAAAAAATCTTCTTTTACATGCCATTTTCATACATGCCGCATGTGAAGACTATATTTTTGTTTGTGGATGTTCACAGACAAAATGTGTTTTGTCATTGATGATAAAAAAAAATAGCCTTCACAAACAGCGTGTAGGGAAATGGCGTCCCCTACTTATACTCCATACTCCCTTCGTTCCTTAAAAGTTTGTCGTTTTTCCTTTTTTGCTGTCCCAAAAACTCTGTCGTTTTTCCTTTTCATCAATTAATTTGTGGTTCTAATTATTTTTCTCTTCTCTGCACAAATCTCAATCACACAATTTTTACTTTATTATTATCCGTGCCGATCAAGCTTGAGAAAATTTTAAGGAACAAAATTTAGAGTTGAACTTACACTAAACTAATCTTAAATCAACCCTCACGTACCAGGGGGTATATCAAGGGTAATAGCGTCTTCATGAACTCCTTTGATGTGTTCAAAGGGTGGAATATGAAAATGATCAATGTAAGCCAATATGGCGGGATTTACGTCATCCACAACTTTAAATACTTCTTCCATCGCCGGCATAGATGAGAGTTTGAATTGCAGCAGGCGCAACTGATCTTTCTCATTTTCAAATCTGGCATACATTCTACTCATATCGCACTTTATTGAAACCTTGAACTGTTTGTAAAATCGCAACCACTTTTTGCCTTCACCCAACTTATGTCCACTGATAGTGACAAACTTCTCTTCTTCTCGGCCTTCCTTGATTGAAACTCCAATGCTTACATTATCTCTTGTGAAACCTGCAACATTAAATTGATTATTGATATGTTATACGGAGTATGTGCTATACATTTGTAATAATTGTGTCCTTGTATAGATCATAGTGCGTAATGAGGTTAAGGAGCATTTGATTCTAATTTTTCCCGGAAATGTTTGCGTCACTGCTCTCTAGTGGCAGTTTTTAAGAAGAGGGGGAAACTAACTTCTGAATGTTAAAATGCGATTATGTATATATATATATATATATATATATATATATATATATATATATATATATATATATATATATATATAGACCTCATCCTGTCCAGCCGGAGGGACAGAACCGGCCGTCCGGACGTCGCCATTTGGGGCCCTTCCCGATGAAATTTTTTTCTGAAATTTTCTGAGCATGTTCTTAATGAAGTCTAGTTTATCCATACCAAGTTTCAGCTAAAAGTTCAATCGGGAAGGGAGTCAAATGAGTTTTGGAAGTTAACTGCGCAGTTTATATACATATAAAACGCAATTATCTTCCAAAATTCATTTGAGTGCCTTCCCGGTTGAATTTTTAGCTGCAATTTGGTATGGATAAACTAGACTTGATGAGGAACATGCTCAAAAAATTTCATCAAAAAATTCCACCGGTAAAGGCCTCTGATGGCTTTGCCGGACGGTGCTTCCCGTCCCTCCGGATGGACCTGATCTTTTCTGTGTGTGTGTGTGTGTGTGTGTGTGTGTGTGTGTGTGTGTATTGGCATCCTATATATATATATACATACTACCTCCGTCCCAAATTGATTTACAAATTTGACTTTTCTTAGTCAAACAGTTTCATTTTATTCGCTTAATTAGGATGTCAATTTTTAATTATATTCTAATTTGGAGTTTGCAAATATAATATGACTAATACTAAAAAAAATGTTAAATTCATCTCATATAACATAAAAAAATATGATATAATATGATATAATTTGGAGTTTGCAAATATAATATGACTAATGACTCCAAATGTTAAAAAAAAATATAATATAATATTACTTTATATTAGTAAAATAAAGATTTTCAAAAAACATGTTAAATTCATCTCATCTTAAAATTTCAAAATCTGAGTTTTTAACTTTTTTTTACTAATAGTCTTAAAGTTACTAATGTTCAAAGTTGTACATTATTGTCAAACATGAAAAGTTGATTGTTACACTTATTTACGAACAAAGGTAAATTGATTGTTACACTTATTTCAGAACGGAGGTAATATTAACTGATGTTGTACTATAGTAGAGATAGATTACTTAACCTCGTGTTATAAGTTTATTGAAAATAGAAAATGAATAAAACTGACCAGCTGGTAAATGAAGTGTGAGAGTATCATATATAGGCCCTATATTCACTCTCCATTCTGGAGTTAAATCTTCATAGTTATAAGATGGTGGAGTTTTCTTGCTTTGCTCGTTGCCTTCCGCCATTTCCTTCTATTCAATTCCTAATTAATTGCTAAAAAAATTACTTACGGGCAAGTGTGTTTTTATGCGGTATAACTTGTTTTAATATATCAACTTGATGAGAAAATATTAATGATGAAACGTATTTATATGACCAAAAAGACACCAAATTCTTTCTTTGACCACAGGTATACCTTGATTTATTTGTGCACTTTCTTTTATTTAATTATTACTACATATCACTTATCAGTATTATAAGTACATGGTTTAATGATATGGTTTTCTAGCTAGCTATATTTATTCCAAGGCATGGTTTTTTGGGTCAATCTTCCCTAGACAGTTTTGGCATCCTACATAATTTAGTAGCATATTATAATGGGTAAAATTACAAGAATATTAAATTTCAATATTAAGCAGCATATGAGAATATTATTTCCAATCCATCACTTAAGTTCTTCTACTAAAAAAGTATCATATAAGTATACTTACTTTTTAAATACAAACAATAAGTCTTCAAAAAAAATACAAACAATAAAGTCATTATGACCTGCTATAGCAGGTTATTTTTCAACAAAAAAATGACTATTGACAAATCTTATAAGAAATCATATAAATTTGAAAATAATGAAATAATAATATAAAATAGCATAAATATAAAAATAGATTAATAACCGGAACTGGGCTCGTCATTGTTTGGAACCGGCCCGAGGTCGGCTTTTCCAATTCCGGACCATGACCGCCCCTCCCCCTCGAGCTTCATTACCTGGTCCTGGGTGCCATTTTTCAACACGTACCGGCCGGTCTCAGATCCGGTCTTCAATGGTTAATTATTTTCCATTTTTTTCTAAAATCGGTACCGCGATCGGACGGGCCGGTCTACCCGACCCAAACCAGAATCCCTATATTCTGCACCGATATCGGGAACCCAAAATATTTGGCAAAGACCGGCCAGTCTTGGCTCGAAACTAGGACTTGACTGGACCGGGTACATGCCTAATCTCATACAAAGTCGACGTGTTGGACCATTGGTATCTGGCCGTTCAGCGTTCTGGCTTCGGGTTCATCCTCTCTCCGTCCAAGGGCTTCCGGTGTTATGGCTTGCAAATGGCAGAGACAGT